AAGCTCAATTGAGGACTGCTGGATAGAGAACTAAAGTGCGCATTTTTTCCCACGTTATGTCAAGTTGCAAGCGTTTGGGATTTTTCAGCAAAAAAGTAATTTTGAAAATAGTCGCTTCTTGAAAGAACGACGAAAGATATTTGGATCAAAAAAGCTTAATCAAAGACTGGTAAAAAAGAATTAAACTGCACATTTGCTACTTGAAATATTAAATAAGGAACGTTTTCAGTTTCGCCAAGAAAAGTTAATGTTCAGTTTTTCAAACCCGCGTTCAGTTTTTTTTTTATATTTAGAGCACCGTAGAGTTACGAAGCTCAATTAAACAGTGCTGGATTGAGAACTAAAGTGCGCATTTTTCCCACTTAATGTCAAATTGTAAGCGTTTGAATTTTTAAGCAAAGATTAATTTAAAAAATTGTCGATTTTTTCCAACCGCGCTTAATTTTTTTCGGGTATTTAGAAAATCATTGGAGCGAAAAAGCTCAATTAAACTGGACATTTTTCTAGTGCGCATTTTTTCCAAATTGCTTGTTTTCTATCCAAAACGTTTATTAGACCATTGCAGCAGCTTCTGTCAAGTAGCGTACCTTCAATTTTTGTTTTTACATTAAAAAGTTCAACGTGTCTTAAATTGCTAAAGCATTGACGAGTCGTTTTTGGCAGTTGAAACTGAAACTAGACTAGAAATCATATCAATTGATCCCGTGAAAACTTGGTGGAAATTTTTTAAATTTCTTTTGAGAATTCTTCATGCTCATCTGCTTACGGGACACCCTGTGCATCTATCCACTGGGCTGCTGTAGGCTGAAATCCAAAATATCGCGAAAATTTTTGTTTTATGGCCCAATGAATTCTAAAAAGCCTCTTCGCTTCTGCCAGTTTTCGCCTAATGCAAAAAGCTGGAATCTACTGAACGTTTCCCAACGCAGCTAAGCCTAATCTACGAACCTGGGTATCTCGTCTCTGAACTATCACATCTATACTGTTAACAGCATCTAAATTAGGCTGGGGATCTTCCATCACTATTCTGGAATGTCTATAGCAATGCATGACAAAACATCTGACTGCCGTCATTATAAAACCGATAGCCAATAGAATGACGCCCATGCCAATGTAAAAATACCTGTGATCCACATCGGCAGCATTTGGAACAAGCTGAACTAGACCCACAATCAGACAAATGGCTCCTGCTAGAAGGGAGCCTACCACCACTTGAAGAGCTGTTACCTGAAAAAATGCTCCCGCTCCGTAAGCCATTAATTCTTGTTAGCAACTTCATGTTTATTATTCTCTTAAAGCCAGCTAGGCGACATATTTCTTCTGTTTAATGGAAGCAAATGGTGCAATTTATCATTTTTGCAACGCGACTCAGTGGCCACACATTCACGTCAAGAAGAATCGAAACCACTTCATCATGGTCATAGTCGGCTTAATCATGGGTTTCCAGATAAACTGGGGAAATGAAAAAAATTACGTGCGACACCAAGAAGTGGGGCAACAGAAGAGAAAATCGCCACGACGGGAAAACCGACATTAAGGCGCTTTTGTTTAGCAGAAATATGTTGCCTCCAGCCAACTGCGCAATTTGCTGATGTTAAGAAAAAGTGTGCGGATTATTCGCCTATTTTGAATGCGGGAAATTAGCGCTTACATTTCCACACAAGTACACTTCTGGCAGTCTTTCGGTACCATCGTCGTTGGTACCCGGACTGGGAGTAGGGCTTGGACTGTTAGGCGGTAGCCAATGGTCGGCTATGTAAAGTTGGCTGGGTCTTTTGTTTCTTTTGTCTTGTCCTTTGCGTCTTTCATGGCGTACTGCCACTGCTGGCATTGCCCCAATCATTTTACTACAAAATGCCCAGAAAAATAAAAGATTAGTGGGTATATGACATTTCATGGCAATCATGGCAATACTGCATGCATCCAAAAAAAGTCCTTAAGTTCGTCAGCTAGGGAAATTAAGTACAAATTAAAATAGTTGTAAAACTCCGGGCCCCAATCAGTCTGTAGAAACTAGGGAAATGGTTTATATTTGCAATTTCCGATTTCGCTGCCGGCCACCCACGTCTGCTTGACCTCCTTAACTTTTGCTCTTAACATTGGAAATCGTGCTGCTTAGTTCGGAAAGTTTGCCACTTAATTACGCCAAATATCAGTAATGCGATTATCGGATCCCCAGGAAAGATAATTCAGCTGTCAACCGAAGAAATAACAGAAAGTCGCCCCAAGTATAAGCTGAACGAAGCTTTTCTGGCTTGAAGAGATGAGTTTTTGACAAATTTCCGGCCTCGGGATGCGCTCAATTTTTAATTGGGAACTTTAGAAAAATCATCTAAATGGTAAATCGAAAGCTCTTTCAGTTCGCAAAATCAGGGCAAAAACCGCCCCAAATGTACCTACATTCTGTATAGAACAGCAATAAAGTTAAGGGTTTCTGATACCTTTCATCGTAAATATGTAATTCCATCGGCAACAGCGAAACATTCTGAGCATAAGCCCGCAATAAAAGATTATCGCCTATCAGATTTACGACAATAAAGCACTTAATTTTATGTAAGTATTCCCTTCCATTCGTTTTATATTAATAATAAATCCCCAGAGAGTTTCGAGCGTTTAATACCTATTTAATTTTCGCCTATCAAAGCCTGAACATGTGGAATTTCCCAAACCTTTACAAGGCAATGGTTGTTCCAGTCGCTTTATGCTGTTTTGATGAAAAAAGTTATGGATCCTGACGGCAAAATAATAAATGAAACTTTTGCTGAGGTCAGAACTGAGCTTATGAAGTTTAGCTGTTTCGCTTTGGGGATATCTAAGAAAGACCGTTCGTTAACAATTTGCGAAAGAACTACGAACAACGATTTCGGACCAAATGAAGCGGGTTTTCCTTATGGTAAAACAGCAAATAATCGACGTGAACCGAAAAAGCTTAAAATACGAAACCTGTTAAGCATCTTTACGGCTCCACATGTATCAATGTTTTGAGGCCAATCTGGGTCAGCTCTGGCAGAGTAATCGCTTTCTCAAGTTTCCCATAAACGTCCCCTAATGCAAATACGTGTAATCAAGCCGACGTCCTCAAGGCCTCCTCTTAAACCATGAGCAAGACGCCAAATAGTCGGCGAATGCAAAATAATTCGTCGGACGTGTCTCGATACGATTCAGCTTGAGAAAAAATGTTTGAGAGTAAGTCCCTAAAATTGACTAATGGAGGACACCAAAATGTATGAAAAGATTAAACAGATCAAAGTACTTTAAAAGGTTTATTGAATGATCCAAAGAGTATTGTATGTACAAAAGTAAGAAACATTGCAGTCGCTATTCAAAGCTTAAAGCTAGATTTGGTTTAGTCAAAAATCCACCTAAAACCCTTTGACAAATTATTATTAATCCCACTTTACATCTATAAATATTTAGGTGTCTAAACGAATTTAAGTAGTATGAATCAAAACAAATAGACAGTAACAGACAAATAGAAATTTTATACAATTAAACTTTTAACGAAAACACACATTTAGTTTGCCTGCCATACAGCATGCGAATATTAGTAGATATACAGGTATGTATGTGAATAATTTCTTGTATATTATGCTATAAAATACTTTTAATTGTAAAATGCTAAAGAAGGTACGACATCTAGAAATAGTTTTATCGACACGTGAACAACCAAACTGAAAACAACATTTCCAAAAGGTTTCATGCACCTTCTGGCAATTGAAAACATTCAAATTGCGAAATTACCTAATAAATTCAGAGCTTATCAACGTTTCTAATTTCCTACAATCGACTAGAGAATTTCCTAGAAAACTTAAAAATTAAACGTTCAGCCTTTTAATAATATCACGAAAATGTTCAAGTAGTAGCTGGGGAAACCTAAAACGGAAACTTGGTTACTAAGATTTTACTCTTTTGAGGCTCAAAGTGGCAAGGAATAGTCGATTATGCTGAATGCAAGATTTTGATTGTCGGTTGAGGGCTAATGAGCTGTTCGTTTCGCTACTTATCTTAGAAATATTCATTTGATGAAATTTCTTAAGTAGTTTTAAGTATTATCGGCTAACTTCTATGCTAGGATGAGTTTAATGAGGAAAATTTCACTTCTGGAACTTAGTAATAGTAATAACAATGATAATTGAGCGATCAGTTCTTTTCTGGTTTTCAGACCGTCGTCGACCGAAATTTATTCCAGAAGTTTCTCTAGCGCGCCTACCATCTTTATAGGGTGGACAATAAGGAACGAAATAGAATGACAAATTTTTTCAAACGTTATGGCTCTTAACACTGAAATTTTTAAGCCGCGAAGGTATCAAGTTCGAACGTGGCAGCACGCATCTATTGTGAATCTCCCATAGGCACATATGTGTGCGAGTGAGACAACCGATGGCGGCCACGTTCTGGAATGGAAAACACAGTTTTATTTTCATGGCAAATCATGGGGCTGCTTCGGCTGGCAATCGCAACTCTGGAGATGGTAGTTATATGAGACAGCGAAACGTTGCGATAAAATTGCTAGAGCAACAGGTTTAAAATCCCGCTAATTGCGCAATTATCATTTTTATTATTTCAAACTTCTACGCAGATGCTGCTGAAAACGCTACTTATTCTGGTGATGGATGGTGAATTCTAAATAAAAAATCTAGTTAAGCTTTTTCCATTTAGAACTGCTAACTTAGAGCACTCTTTGGTGCAAATTAATGACGTTTCTATTAAAGTATTAATCGCAATAGCAACAACGTCTTACTCGTTAATCCTTAAAATAGTTTTAGATTTAAAAAATCACAGTGCATTTGAAAAAACGTGTTTATAATTTGTAAACTTTACAAGTACCAATTGCATTCATACGTATATTTAGAAATAGAGAATATATAGTTAGATATGCTGATAGTATGATTGGTATTGAATATATGTTGTGTTTGGAATACGTATGTTGGTCGTAACGATCATGACATGTATTTGGCTATACATACAACCATAAAAAAGTATACTGAACATCAATAAAAGCCATATGTATGTATACTGGGTTTTTTCCTATTTGGTGCGTGTAGGCAAAATACTCTTTACTTTGTACCCTTCTGATTCCAATTTATATTTATTTTTCCAATTCCTATAAAACATGAAACAAATGGATATCTGCCTTACTAAGGCATTTTCCAGATTCAGACGGCTTTCATGCTTAAAATTCTATTCATACGAGAAGGGCCAGAACAGACAGGGCGCGCAAGATATCAATTCCCGTTGAAAGAATAAACATGCTCGAGAATATTATGCGGATTGTTTTGTGTCCTTTGTCTTCATTGTAGTCTACTAAATTAATTCAGGTAATAATAGACGGGGGGAAAACTTGCAAACTAAGCATGTTTTTAATGAAAATCGCACTTTGTTCTGTTGCCTTTGTACGTTTGGTAGTGTAATCTAGCAAGAACAAGAACGCAGTTAATTAATTCATTTGGTTTACTTCAGGGCGTGTTGTTGATCAAGACTTCTTGGAAAAAATCCCAATTATCTTGAGAATTTGAGTCCAATCCCGAAAAAATCTTGGAAAGTTAATTACTCTTTACGGGGCGCCGATTACACAGCCAAACTTGGAATTTTTAAACATCCATACAAAAGATATTTTGTTACTGGAGAAATGGCTCAAGCTTTTTAAATACAAAGCCGCAATTGTATTTTTAGCGCAACGAAATTCTGATGCATCCGCAGTTTTTTTTGGACGAAAACAATATTCCTTACTCGTTTGTTAGAAACTAATCCCCGAAACCTCGCGCTTACGGAGCAGCTAATACTGAACCAATTGGTGTAATTTAGGCCTGGGTAACTCTGTGTTGAGTTGCGCTTTTGAGTTGTGACCGCTCTCTGAGTTAATGAGTTTTAGCTCAACTCATGCCGATGACCGAGACTGGAATTCTAACATCTAAAGAAAAGGTCATCAACATTGTTTATGAGTAACGTTTTACCAGTAACGGAGCTGAGTTATTGCGCCAGTGCGTTGGGTTGGCGCACCAGGTCATTTGCACAGTACTGCTAACTCTTAAAAATTAACTCAGTTACCTTTTCTGTAGGAACGATTGCTTGAAAATTCTTGGTCACAAACGGGAAAAATCGGAAATTTTGAAGAAACTTAAAAATTTAACAGATCGATGGAGGTGACGAGTTTTCCAAATGGTTTTGTTACCAACAATGCTTTCGAATTCTCTTATGGTTTTTTGGGAAAACTTTATTGTTTTCGAAAAAAAACAAGAGAACTTTATTTCGATTTTGTCCCAAATTCAAAGGTATTCGAAAAAGACTATTAAGAAGACCACGAGTTTTCTTTTAAAATCGATGTTTTGGTCTTTTTGCATAATTTTTACACAGCTGTAAAGCAGGCGAGTGCCCCAATAAAATTTATTGGGAAATTTTTCACAGAAAATATCTGAAGATTGCTAGTATTCTTGAGTAAAACTTTAGAAAATAATGCGTTTTTTGCGTAGAAATAATTGCGTAAGAAAAACTTTCTTAAATTGCAGACCTGAAATGTTAAAGAAACTTTTAAAATCTTGAAAGCGAGGAAATTGGCGATTTTTTCAAACTATTTTTACGAACTTTTGCTCTGGCCGTTTTATCAAGATAATCTTAATTACTTTCGGTACAAAACTACATAAATCTATTATTATTATATAATTATAAATTCGAAGCTTACCAGGGTTTTCTAACATTCCCTGCAAAGCGATGAATGAGGCGAATTTTGTAACAAAATTATTTTTTCCTTTCTTCGCTGAAAAGACCCCCCATGATTGTCAGGAGAGAAGAAGAGAATCAGAAAATAATTTAGTTTTGTAGTCGGTTTTTGAGAAAATCTTAATGATTT